GAACTGCTTGAATGCTGTCTGTTAGTGATCCCGAGGAAGCGTCCCATGCATCGCCTCCTGAGGTGGCCTTCAGTGGGGCTCTACTTGTGGTGTTTTCACAGAGGCCGACTCTGTCACACCCACGGAGCAGGGTGATCTGAAGGAGGACTCACCATCATGACTTGACCATGAGCCCCAAACTTGTTTTTTGTCTTAACCAGTGTTGGCAAAATGGTTAAAGAAGGAGGAGCAAGACCACGGGTGGCAGTACAGGTCTGTCATCCCAGCAAACTGGGAGGCTGAGGCAGGAGGGTCACAAGTTTGAGCCCAGCCTGGGTATATTTATGACTTAGGGAGACACTGTCTCACTGAAAAATAAAAAGGGCTGGGGTGTAGCTCAGTGTGAAGGCCCTGGGTTCAAGTCCCAGGAACACAACAAAAATCCTAGCGGTCTTAAGTGTGATGTCTGCATAAGTGCCCAGCACACAGTGAGTGTCCCCCTCCCTGCACCCACACCTCCTTCTTGGCCTCCTCCTTGGTACAGGACTCTTGGAGTGGTCCAGCTTGGGTCACAGAGGAAACTTAATTGTATTTTTGGGTCTTTTGATCTCCTTGTGTAGTCCAGACTGGTTTAGAACCCACTGGGTAGCCAAGGTAGGCCTCAAACTGGCAGTGATCCTCCTGCCTCAGCCTCCCCAGTCCAGGCGTATTCCACCACACCTAGCGACAGAGGAAAACTGTAAAGAAAAACTCATTTATACTGCTTCCCTGTGGCCAGGAAGGTGGCCAAAAAGAAGGAGGAGGCTGCACTCAGTTTCCACTTAAATTCCACGCCCATTTATGGGTCCTTCATAGGGATCCTTTGCGTAAGTAAACCGCACTGGAAGAGGTCAGCAGGGTCCTGACCTTGCCCCGGTGGTGGTGGGTGCATTGAAGCCTGAGGAACTCAAGGCACAGAGGAAATCAGCTGATGTCACTGGGAAATGTTGTTTGGGGGGCTGGGGCGGAGGCAGGGTCAGGGATCAGCCCTCCTCAGGCGCCTCTGGACTTCCTGGAATCTTCCCGAGCTGTGACACACCCAGTAGGTGGAGCTAGAGAGTCACAGACCTGGAAGTCTTCTTGGAACAGTCAGCGCTAACCAGCACAATGCACGTTTTTTTAATTTCATTTTTCCAGTGCTGGGAATTGAACTCAGCACCTTTGCACTGAACTATACCTCCAGTCCCTTTTTATTATTTGAGACAGGGTCCCGCCAAGTCGATAAGTTGCCCGGGCTGGGTTCAAACTTTCAATCCTCCCTCCTCAGCCTCCTAGAGTGCTGGGATGACAGGTGTGAGTCATTGTGCCTGGCTGGAAAGATGGAGAAACGGCAGAGAGTCAGGAGCTGAGGGCCTGAAGAAAGTCAGTTAGGTGCTCGATGTGCAGAAAGGCTGGCATCAGAGTCACCCCAGCAACACAGGGCTCTGTCGCTTTTTCCAAGACCTTGAAGCCCATATCCAATCCCCATGGGACACAATTTCCAGCACTGAACTTGAGGTGCCTGTAGCAGCACCTGTGCAGAGTCCGGAATGATGGGTGTGGCCCCCTGCCATGTAGAAGGGCCTGGCTGGGAGCCAGAGGCCTAGGTTCAGAGGTGGCAGGCAGCATGCCAGCTGCTCCCCAGGACACAGGCTCAGCCCCCACCCAGACCTGCCTGGTCAGAGTCCAAGTAGTGATCAGAGCCTCTGCTGGTCCCTTGCATGAGGTCAGCTGGCCTGGTGCTCTCACTGAGCATTTCAAGGTGCAGAGGTAGACGCTGGTTCATGTGGGCTGCTCCGAGGCAGGGACCATGGCGAAAGGGCCTGGCGGAGGACAGTGCTTGCATCACGGCAGCCAGGAAGCAGAGCTCGGAGCAGAGCCAGAGAGGAAGGGTCATGGGATCAGTGATAGGCAAGGAGATGGAGGTGGAGATAAACTGTAGAGCAACAGCCTGGGGCTGCTGCGTGGCCCAGTGGAGGGCTCTGTAAGGACTCCCATGACAGCACAGCAGTTCTCAAACCTTTGGAAGGCAGGACCACAGTTCTCCTGGCCCTCTCGGTTCTCCAGCTCAACACCTAGCCCAGGACTGAGCATGGAACAGGCATGGATAGATTTCATACATCCACTATTGTAAAAATATATAAAATCTGCTGGGTATGGTGGTGAACACCTTCATCCCAACACTCAGGAGGCTGAGGCAGGAGGATCACAACAATTTCAAAGCCAGCCTGGGCTACACAGTGAGTTTAAAGCCAATCTGAACCACATAGGGAGAGCCTGTCTCAGTAATAAAAAAGCAAAAATTAAAACAATATATAAAATCTTGAGCACATACAACAGATGTGGAAAAGAAAATGAATACTCAAGTTCCTCCTACTCCCTTAAAAAAATGACCAATGTCATGGTAGTGGGATTGCCTTGGTGACAGCCCCTCAGCTGGGGAACCATGGGACTCGGAGTAGAGCATGAGATATGGAGCGCAAGAAGGTGTGATAGAAAAACACAGGAAAGCCGGGTGTGGTGGCTCATCCTTACATCCTAGCACTTGGGAGGCTGAGGCAGGAGAATTGCCACAAGTTCAGGGGCAACCTGGGCTACACAGCAAGACCCTATCTCAAAAAAAAAAAAAAAATTGCAGTACAGAATTTCCATTCCAAAGCAGGGGAAGTCACCGAGAACTTTTCACTGTGCGGCATCATGGAGAGACAGTTTACAGGGCTGGCAATGCAGGGGGAAGCGGGTGAGGGCGGTGACCCTGGAGCAGCGGTGGCAGGAAAGGCCACACCCAAAGGCGGTCGACCTGACCTGTGGAGCCAGAGTGTGTCAGCGTAGCCAACAAGAGAAAGTGAGCTCAGATGGAACCAGGGCTGCTCATCAGTGCCTTAAAATAGGGAGGTGCCCTTGGCTTGTCCCAGGGGACCCAGCCACCACGCAGATGTGGAGAGCAGGTTGGCGAGGCTGTCGCCGGCTCCGGGCCGCCTCTGCTGGCCTGATGTCCATGCAGGATGCAGCCTTTCCAAGGCACGAGGGGACCCCACCCTGAACAACACTCTTCAGCTGGGCTTCAGCTGTACACCGGTTAACCCTAGCACTCCAGGAGGCTGATGCAGGAAGATTCCCAAGTTCCAGCCCAGCATGGTCATCTAAGCAAGACCCTGTCTCAAAAGAAAAATTAATAAAAGGCCGGGAGGCAACCCAGTGTGAAGGCCCTTGGCCCACCCCCAGTCACAAGGGAGAGAGAGGCAGAAAGAGCTGCCCTGCTCCTGCCCACTCTGAGAGGGGCAGAGGCGGTAGAGGACAGAGTGGGGCAGAGGTGGGTAATGATGAGCCGGACAGGAAGGGATAGACTGATAGACAGACGGACAGATGATAGATGGACAGATGACAGTCAGATGCGACAAGCATTGCAGGCAGGGATGATAGGTACGGTCACAGTGCCAACCCCGTGAGCCCCAGGACCCAGTGGGGATGGAGGAGGGTGTCCCGAAGGCCCTGGAGGGGACCCGCGTGGCCACCTCGGCAGGGACAGCTGCTGACCACAGAGACACTGCCTGTGGCATCCTGGTCTGGTCTCCATTTTCCGTGTGACACAGGGTGGCTCCGGGGGGATTTCTGTTTCTCCGAAACCCCCCGAGGGCGTGGCCTCCGCAGTGTGACCCCCCTGCAGCCAGCACCCAGGGTCACTTTTCTTGGGTTTTTGAGGCAGGGCCTCTCTGAGTTGCTGAGGAGCCCAGATGAGACTCAAACACCTGTGTGTCGCCAGGCTTGTTTGTGCTCATGGGCCCCACTCGTGTCCCCTGGTCCCCTCCCGGGGCCCTGCCTCGAGGGCCCGTCACATTCACCACACTGGCATGGGCCTGGGGCACCTACACACAAGTGTAGTGAGTGAGGCCATTTAGATAAACCTCATGAGCAAGAGGAGGAAAGACGCTGAGGCAGAAAACAGAGGCTGGCATGAGGCCCATATCCATGTACACCCTGGGAGGCTGAGGCAGGAGGAGTGCAAGTTCCAGTCCACCTTTGCACACAGGACTGTTACTCCTCAGCTCTCACTGTGGCAGGGCTGTGCTCATCACCGCCCTCTCTGCGTAGACGAAAAGCCAAGCTTAGTGAGGTTAATCCTCTCAGCTCTCCTCAGAAGCGGGGCTGCCAGCCAGGGCCGGCCTGGTCCCCGAGCTGTTTACCGCCAAGCCCGGCTTCGCGTGTCCTGGGAGGATTCCCAGCCGTGGCCAGCAGTGGGGAAAGGAACGTTTTCTTCGTAACTTTGCAAAGGGACCTGTGGAAACCGCCTGCTTGCATATTACTGGGGCTCTTGGGTTCAGACTGGATCCCTGAAAGCCTTCCAGACCGCAGGCGGATTTGGGCTGCCCTCCGTTCGTCTTCTGCTTGGAGACTTGGCTCTCAGTCAGGACCAAAGCCCAGGTCTGCGAGCCCTGCAGCTGCGGACCCAGGCCCAGGGACCTCATCGTGGCCATTGTTCATGGAGGACTCGGCCGTGTGACCGGGCGGCCCTGGGGGAGGCCAGCCTACTGTCCCCACAGCCGGCCATATCCCCTGACTTTCAGCACTGCAGGGCACCCTGACCCGAGGGAAAGCACAGCAGGTCCCGAAGTGGCTCCAATTCGATGTCCCCTCCGGCCCAGGGCCTGATGGACCAGCGTCTCCCTCCCCCCCACCCCCCTCCTTCCCTCCTTCATTCTCCTTTCCTTTCTCTCTGACATGCTGGGATTGAACCCCGGGCTTTCGCACCCAGCTGCACTCCCCAGCCCTTTTCTTATATTTTATTTTGAGACAGGTTGCTAAATTGCCCTGGGAGGGCTTGAACTTGCCATCCTCCTGCCTCAGCCTCCCAGGGTGCTGGGGTTACAGGTGGATGCTCCTGCCCCTGGTGATTTTTTTCCAACTGATAAAAACAGAAAAATTGTACTTGTGAACCATCGTGTAGATGCGCTGTTCAAACACGTGTGCACCATTCACTCACACCTAGCATTTCTGCTTTACAGATTCCCATCATGAAGGACCCTGGGTGGATCCGGAGTGTGTGGCCTGCAAACATTAATGTGAGTGCTGTTTGTGTGAAACGTCCTTACCACACTCTGAGGTGTCACTGAGAGAACAGTGCTGTTCATCCTATGTGGTCCCTGCCTGGGTGGATGCACCTCCGAGGCATATATGTGTCTCCTTCCTTCCCTCCTTTCTTCCCTCCTTTCTTCCTTCCTTCCTTCTTCTTTCTTTCTTTTTCTTTCTCTCTTTCTTTCTTCCTTTCTGAGACAGGGTGTCGTATATAGCACAGGCTGGCTCAAACTTATAATGATCCTCCTGCCCAGGCCTCCTGAGTGCTGAGCTCACAGGCCTGTGCTGCTGGGTCGAGCAAGCACTGTGCTTTTTGGCCCAGACTCCTGGGTCCCCATGCAGCCAAAAACCCTGAGCCTGCCTCTCCCTGGGGACCCTGGTGACTCGGCTTCTGCCTGGTCCCAGAGCCTGCCCTGGGCTTGGGGACGCTGCTGAGAGCCACTCTGTGGGTGCCTGTGGCTTGGAGGTGGCCCTCACCTTGCAGGCCATCCCATCCTGGAGTTTGACTTTAACCTTTCACTGCATCCCACAGCTTCCTGAGGATTTTAAACTGGACACCACAGGAAGTGAGGGGTTCTGGGACGGCAGGTCAGTGGAAAAGTCTAGACAAGAACTGATAAAGCCAAGTGGCTGAGTGTGGTGGCACATGCCTGTGATCCCCGCACTGAGGAGGCTGAGGCAGGAGGATCTCCAGTTCAAGGTCAGTTTGGGTTATATAGGCCATCCCTGTCTCCAAACAGGATGAAGATCAATTAGTCTTGGCCCTTTGAGGAGCTTGCAGGCTAGAGGAGCACTTGAGGCACAGGGTGGACTAAGGCTCTGGCAAGGTACCTGGGGCCTGGCATGTTGCCAACTGGGGCAAGGGACTGGCACTGGAGGTGGACCCAGGGGCTCCGTGGCAGGGATGAAGGAGGCTGCGAAGGTGCGGCCCAATTTGTTTCCCAGGAGTGGCAGAAGCAGTGCCCAATGGGCATCTGAGAATCCTGGATGGGGTGGGACTACCAGTGGCAGCTGGGTGGGGAATGGGGAGAAGGGGTGGAGCCCGGTGAGAGTCCCTCATGCCTGGGGAGCACATGGTGCAGTTCTCAGGCAGCTCAGTACCCTGGGCTGCCACACACATGGGACAGTGGCTCAGTATACTGGGGAGGTAGCATGCCAGGACGCAGGGGCCCATGCCACTGCACCCTCCCCAGGGCTTCTGAGAGAAGGGAGTCTGCCATGGTTATCGCAAGGGCCCAGCAATTGGCTAAGCCAGCAGGCAGGAAGTAGTATGGCACTGGCATACCAGGTGCGAACTCGTAATTCCAGCACTTTGGGAGGCTGAAGCAGGAGGGTTGCAGGCAAATTTGAGCCCAGCCTGGGCAGCTCAGCTTGGTGGCTCAGGGAGACCGTGTATGTGAAATGCGGCATCGCAGAGGGACAGGGCACACAGAAGCCAACAGGGGTCACCTTCTGCACGGACCCAGGAATGCCCCAGGGAAGGGGTGGGCAGGAGAGGGGCTCTCAGTTTGAAGGGTTGAGCTGTGGTTTGCAGAAACCCCAAGAACTAAGATGCGAGTAAAAAACACATGGTGTGTTTAAATATATAACATTTAGTACCGTAAAGGCACACTGCTGTGAACCCCCTCACGGTCCTCCCTCACTTCCGGGCACACTCGTCGCAGGGTCCTGGCTGCTTCTCGCAGCTCTGGAGTCCTCTGTCCTGAGTTTCTTCCTTAGCTGTGCTGTCTTGGCTGCCTCCATGTCCTGAATGGACTCAAAGCCTTTCGTGGTCTTTGTGACTTTAGGGAGCAGCCAGAAGTCACACGGTGCCAGATCTGGTGACGAAGGCAGATGAGGACACATTGTCGTGTTTTTCTGAGCTGCCTGCCTGTTGTCCTCTGCCTTGGTCCCCAGGGCAGCAGTTCCTAGAATTTCAGGTCATCCGGGCCCAGTTACTGGACACCGTGTTTTGTTTACTCCTTTTATTTTCTGATGTCTTTAGGTTTCAGAAAGAAATGGATTTGAATTTCAGTTTTCTTGCACATTTTGCAAGGGGAGGAAATGAAACATGGTCTGGATCTTAGATTGAGTGTGAAAATTTTCTCCCACCCACGTGATTCACGTGCCCACCCTGTGGAAAATCCACCAGGAAATGTTGGCTCAAGGTGAAAGCCACTGTGCCCTGATCCCGCCCACTTGATTTACATAGCTCATTTGCATGTTACATTTGAGAACCTCGGCCCTATGGAGGAGGGGCTTGACGACTCCGCCCCATTCTCTGCAAATAGGCTCCCTTTTTGTACGCTACTATTTATGCGCATGCTCGTTTGTTCTGGTTTCAGAACCTTGCCTTTGATATATATGATAGACATTAGGGGAAAAAGAGAAAAAAAAGTTTTTGTAATCCAGCATGGCTGTTGATTTAACGAAATTGGGCCTGCTAGTCTGGCTGTTTTTATGATGAAGAATTTGTTTAAAGGCTTATAATATAAATAAACCTGGTGCTGGCAAAACAAAATCCCCAAAATTTACAAATGGGGCACCGACCCCCCCCCATGTATGCCATCATTCCATGCTGCAGTTATGGGCTAACAATAAAACAAACAGAAAACTGAGTGGATAAACCGGGTTAACCGTACAGCTCTTACCTGTGCGGAGGCTGTCCCGAGGTGCGGGAGGGCCCAGCGCAGAGAGGCCTGGTCACTTGCTGGAGGCCACACAGCAGGGGTTGTGGGGAGAGGCTGCGCGATTTCCGGTCCCCTGGCTCTCCAACGAGGTGGGCCTTGGCCCCTGGAGCCCCTGTCTTCCTCCTGGCAGGGGCGTCTGCTCACTACAGCTCTCTTGGTCCTTCGGTTTACTGTGTGTGTGTGTGTGTGTGTGTGTGTGTGTGTGTGTGTGTGTGTGTTTTAATACTAGAGGTGGAGTCAGGGCTTTTGCCCTGAGCTGCAGCTCCAGACCTTTTTCTTTTTTTCTTAATTTTGGGACAGGGTCTTCTCAGTTCATAAATGGCCCTTCCTGCCTCAGCCTCCCCAGTGCTAGGATGACAGGTGTCTGCACCCAGCTCTCAGTGGATTTTCTTATCAGCTCAAACTTGGTCTTGGGGACAATTCCCTTCTAACTCACTGGGCACAGTGTGAGAGCCACCACAGAGCGTGTTCAGGAAGACAAAGCAAAGAAATGAGGATATGGCTGGTGTCTCATGGACTCTTCTGTCTGGTGTTTCCTGCTGTACAGATATTGTCTGATAAAGGCTCTCCTTGTGGGCCAGGCTGGCCTCACACTCCCGGTGATTGTCCTGCCTCAGCCTCCTGAGTGCCAGAACTAGGTGGGCACTACCACACCAACTGAACCTCTACAATTGTTATTTTTAGCAAATTAATTGTGTTTTGCTTTCCAACGTGGACCAGTGTCCAGAAGATAACGAGACATACTCTGGGGGCTATTGATGTTTTCCTGTTGTCTGGCTTTGGGGTTCCGCACCAGTCTCATTGCTGTGTGTCCACTGGCTTGGCTCAGCTTTTCCCGTTGTCCGCTCCTCACCCCCCTTTCGAAGCTGTATCTGAGTGAAGCGCCTCTGCAGCTCTCAGGAAGACCCTAACACGGGGATTTCTCCCTCTCCATTCCCTGTGCTCCCTATTTCTCCTGAGATCCTGGCTCCCTGGTTGTCATGCTTTTTCTTTAGCAGGGCGAGCTCTGCTCCAATGTTGATGTTGTGGCTTGGTGTCTAAGTGTGTTTATTTAGCACGGTTGGGACGGGTGTGGCGGGCGAGGTCCCCCTGGGTGAGGAACCCTGCCTAGCACTCTCTGGGGTCTATGCGGTCCCCTGGGTCTCAGCCGGCTGGCCGTGCGACTTCAATTCCGGAATGATCTTTTGCCCCCTGGCCTGCCCGCACCCTGGCCCTCCTGCCTTGGCCTGCTGAGCACTGGGTTCAGGTCCAGCCAGCAGCGCAGAACCGGTCCCCCCATCCCCCGCGTCATCGGAACCCCCCTCCCCGCAGCCTGGGGACCGAGGCGCCTGCTGTGCGGGACGCAGCAGCAGCAGCACCGACACCCTGAGGCAGGAAACGCCCCTCCTGTCCCTCACTTCGCGCGGATCAGCCCAAGAGGGCAGCAGGGACCCCGGCCCCACACCAAGGACCCCCAGCAGGGCCGTCCTCAGGCTCAGCGGCTGCCTCTGTGGGGACAGGCAAAGCCCAGCGGTGCAGAGACGCTGGCTCCGAACCGAACCGAACCGAACCGAACCCCCGCGAGGGGCGGACGCTGAGGTCACAACCGCAGGGGGCGTCACAGTCCCCCCCCCCAGCAGGGCGGACAGCTGCAGGCGGAGCGCGGCCCTGACCACTGCCCCCGCCCCCCGGAGGCCGCCTCTCCCGCTGCGGGCCGGGGGCTTTGCAGGGACCCGGGAGGGGCCCGGGGCGCCCACCGCGGAGCGGAGACGGAGACGCGGCGGCTGCTAAGGTGCGAGGAGTCGGGACCCTGAGCAGAGTCCTCCAGGGGGCGGTCCTCCAGGGGGTCACAGGCTCAGAGAAGCGGGACCCTGGGAGCTGGCTTCGTGTTATTTGAGTCACTCCCGACTTAGAGACCGTGCTTTCCTTGTGTTTTGGTTTGGTTTTTGAGACCTCCTGGTCTCATTGTGAAGCCCAGATTGGCCTTGAATTCTTGGCGATTCTCTTGCCTCAGCCTCCCTAGTGCTGGGATGACAGGTGTGCACCACCACACCTGGCACTGGCTCCATCCTTTAAAGGTGACCTGTTGCTTGAGGCCCTCTCTAGGGGATCTCAAGAATGCTGAACTATGGTCCCTATTGGCAAAATGCCGATCACACAATATGCTTGTCTTTTTAAAATTTTTTAAAAAATATTTTGAGACAGGGTTTCTCTTGTAGCCCAGGGCGCCCATGAACTCTTGGTGATCCTCCTGCCTCAGCCTCCAGAATGTGAGGACAGGTGTGTGCCACCATGCCCAGCTCCTACTCTATTTTTAAAATTATACACAGTCACTTTGT